AGGCTGCAAAAGCGGATCGAAAAGCTAGAGAAGAAGAAGGGTCGCAAGGGAGACTCGGACTGAGACGACAAAAGCGCAGCCGAGGCACCTTCCGCTCGTAGAGAAGGCGGTGCGGTCATAGGCGTCGCCTGAGAAGCTGATCACAGCGTCCGAATCGCCCACAGCCAGCCTTGCGGTGCCCGGTAGCGAGCGCAGGTGCGCGTCAGCCAGTGGACCACAGAAAAGTCTCCTGGCGGCAGGGCGAGCGCATCAAGCAGGAACCCCGCCCAGCCCCTGCCGCGCCTTGCCGTTTGCAGCCCTTTGCACGAAAGCAGCGCATGCACCTCAGTATAAAATGGCAGAGGACGGGGCAATGGAGCTTTTAGGGAGGCTTGCTAGAGACTACAACGTGAGGGATCCTAGAAAGCTCTACCAGATCGCGAGACGGGAGTTTCCGGACCGACGGGACCTCACAAGCGCGCGGGCCCAGGCGGCATTGCGCAGCGACGTGGCGCGGCAGGTGCTCGCGCCCAAGCCGCGGAGTCTGGGGAAGAGTGCGGCGGAGGGGCCGAACGACCGCTTGCAAGCGGACCTGGTGGATTTCTCCCAGAACACGAGGGGGGCGAACAAGTACGGGCTTGTGGTGACGGATGTGTTCACCCGGGAGGTGGCCACGAAGGCCCTGCCCGACAAGCGGGCGGAGACCGTTACCCGAGCGGCCGCGGAGATCATCCCCGAGCTGGTCCAGGACGAAACCAACGTCGTGGTCACGACGGACATGGGGAACGAATTTCGGGGTTTGGAGGCGGCGCTGCCCGGAGGCGCGGTGCACCGCCAGAAGGACCCCTCGGACCGCAATGCGACGGCGGTGGTGGACCGGGCGATTCAAACGCTAAAGAGAGATTTAGCGTCCAAGGTGGCCCGGGACGCTGGGGGCTGGGGCGACCATGTGGAAGAGGCGGCGGAAGCCTACAATGCCCGCCCGCATGCGGCCGTGACGGTGGCCCCCGAGGATGTGGAGACGATGCCGGCCGCGAGCTTCCGGGTCTATCAAGACAATGCAGCGAAGTTCAAGCACAACGACGAGTTGACGAGGAGCCGTCAGCGGCGGCTCGAGGAGGCGGGGGCGTTCCGGGCCCCCACCAATGCGGCGCGGAGCTTCCAGCCCCAGTACGGGGCGGTGCGGGAGGTTGCGAATTTTGATTCGATGACGGTGCGGGCCACGGACGGCTCCGAGACGTTGCTGAAGCATGCGCTCCCGGTGCCCCGCGGCTCCGCGGAGCCTAAAGCTCGGCTGACTCGGCGGCCGGTGCCCCTGGCGGTGCGGCAGCTGAGAGATTTCAATCCCGGGCCCACGGCGCCGCCGTGATCGCCACGGCGGGATCAATGCGGGAGCCGGGAAGCCCGGAAGTTTTTATTTATATAAATAAAAAGCCTCTGGGCCCGACCGGAGCTTCAAGCCTTCCCCGTTCCCGTCCACGACACGCAGGGCGGATGCAAGGGCAGCCTAGTAGGGAGGGTTCTAGGGGTTCGGGCCAGGGACTTAGGGTAACCCACACGACACGCAGGGCACTCGCAGGGCACTCACAGGGCAGCCTAGTAGGGACTAGGGTTCTAGAAGGGTCGGGCCAGGAGGTTCGGGACTTAGGGTAACCGGCGGCTGCAAACGAACCTCGAAGGCGTCGAACCGACCTGAATCCAGGGTCAGCTCGCACAACAGGCCGATGCATGCAGAGAACAGCAGAAGGACTTTTAGATCGCACGGCTCAGCTGCGAGGCCTCTCCTGAGGAACGGCTCGCTAGCCAGTCCTTGCGACACCAGCCTGTATACTGGGTTTTTTGGGCGCCGCGGCTCCTGTAGGCCGCGGCGCTCAACGCCGGCTTGAGCCCCCTATGCAAAGTCCATCTCCAGGAGTCGCAAGTGCCAGTTGATGTCCAACAGTTCGTTCTGCAGGAAAACCCTCACCGCCAAAGCGACAAGTCGTCGAGCTGATCGAGGGCCTCTGACGTTAAGCATGCGCTCCCCAAGCTCGCGGAGTCGCTCCTGCTGCCCCTGGATCTGCTCGCCAAGAGTGACGTGCATCTCGTCGCGCTCCCATCGGGATTCCTCCTCGTAGGCCTGCCATATTCGTCCCCGTAGGACGAGGTTCGGATGACGACCCAGGCTGGCCGCGCGGGTGCTCATGAAAAGCCGGGACTGACGAGCCACGGAGGAGTAGCAGGTGAGAACCCGGTCGAAGATGCAGCTGCGAAGTAGCCGGCTGCAGTTGCTGAGCCGTCCGAGGCTTTCCATGCCGATGGCGGCCTCCTCGTCCAGCTCCGTGGGCACCTCGATCAAGAAGTCCAGCACCAGGAGCCAAGGCACCATGTGCAACTGCGTGAAGCGCCTGGGCGCACATGCGGCGCGGCGCCAACGGCACATCATCTCCAGCGGCATCGTGCGTGATCAGGGAGCTGCAAGGGGGGGCTCGAGAGGGCACAAAACTCGCGCAAGGCACGTGCAATGCGGCGCACAAGGCTGCACAAGGCTGCTAAGCACGACGGGACCTGGGCTCCGGACGATCACCGCTGAAGGCTCGCCGAGTTGAACAAGCCCAGGCCTCAATGCCGGGCAGGTCGCTTTCCACCATTTCCAGGTTTTCCAGGGTTTCCAGGGGGGTGTTGGGAGGGCCCAAAAAGCCAACATGGAAAGCGTGGAAAAATGAAGCTCCTAGACACCAGAATCGGGCTGGAAGGATAGGGTTCAAAAGCGAACTCCGAACACCCTGGAAAACGTGGAAAGCGTGGAAAAATGAAGCTCCTAGACACCAGAATCGGGCTGGAAGGATAGGGTTCAAAAGCGAACTCCGAACACCCTGGAAAACGTGGAAAGCGTGGAAAAATGAAGCTCCTAGACACCAGAATCGGGCTGGAAGGATAGGGTTCAAAAGCGAACTCCGAACACCCTGGAAAACGTGGAAAGCGTGGAAAAATGAAGCTCCTAGACTCAATTTCCACGCTTTCCAGGGGGGTGTTGGGAGGGCCCAAAGGCCACCCTAGAAAACGTGGAAAGCGTGGAAAAATGAAGCTCCTAGACTCAATTTTCCATGCTTTCCAGGGTGGCCTGTGGTCCCTCCCAAGACCCCCCTGGAAACCCTGGAAACCTGGAAAGCGTGGAAAGCGACCTGCTGAGATAGAAGCGGGCTGGAAGCGCAACCATCCGCGAACGGCCAGGGGCCCGGGGTTCCCGAAAACAGGGCCGGGGTCGCAGGGCACTCTAGCTTTACGGGATGGGGGAAGCACCCTCCTGTGGCGCACGGAACAACAACCCCCACAATCGCAAAGTCCGAAAAAACCCTGAACAGAGGCACCAGCACAGTGACGCAGGTTCGAACCTGAGCGAGGCGAAGGGGTTCAGAGTGACGGAGCTAAAAAAGCACAGAAGCGACCTGCAGCATCCTACAACACGGCACACAAGGCTTGAAGCTGCGAAACTGTTTGCACGGGCGCGGCAGCGGATCCTGTACGGAGCTGCGCCGAACGCGCAGGCCCTGAGGCCCGAAGGGCACAGCTGGGGTCCTGTACTGACCGCTGTGCCAAAAGATCGCCGCGGCTTCAGCCGACGGTCTTACTCCAGAGCTCCCGCAGCCTGGCGATGTTCTCCTGATCAGACTCGACGCGGCCACCCAGCACCTCGCCTTTCAGGATGCCATCGGGGACGAAGATCGCGACCATCCTCTTGAGGATTGCCCGGCGGTCCACGTCGAAATGCTCCTTGATGGGCATGTCATGCAAGTCCCCGCAGAAGTCCTTGGGGATGTGGGTTTCCGTGGCGCTGTGCATGACCTGGAGCCCCGGGTGCACCTTGTCGACATCTTGAACTGTCATGATTCTCAGGCAATCCTGCGGGATCTGAATGTCTGCGTAGCGACTCTGGAGAGTCGCTCGATCATCCCGGGAGATGCCCAAGAGCTGCTTGACAAAGTCCGGTCCTCCGCCTTGGCTCCCCACGTTTTGCCGGTTGGCAAGGAGATCATCGAAAACCAGGGGCCGCCCGCCCTGAAGCAGGTTGAACGGAAGCGTCGGACTTCCTCCAGCGGGCAGTCCGGGCCGTAGTGCTCAAAGTCTTGCTTCGTGACACGTCCCTGTACTCCTTTAGCGGCTCGCCCAGCTTTCCGTTCATGAAGGGCTCCGGCTCGGCTAATGCCTCCTCCGCCGGCTCGCTGGGCTGTGCCGGCTCGCTGAATGCAACCTGCGCCGCCGCGGGCTCTGGCTCGCTGGGCTGCGCCGGCTCGCTGGGCTCTGCAACCGGCTCACTGTGTGCAACCGCGCTCTGCAACCGACTCGCTGGGCTGTGCAACTACCGGCTCGCTGAGCTGTGCAAGCTTCGGCTCGCTGGGCTGCAACCTTGGTCGTATTCCTCATCTGCTTCATGAACTTGTCCAAACTGGCCTTGGGAGCAGAGGAGCCCCTTCCCAAACCTCGCCCTTGAAAACGGAGCGGCTCTTGGCAGATGCCGACTGTACGTGCACCACAGCGATCAAACGGATGCCTCGATACCAGTATTGATCCATCTGTGTAGAAAACCAGTGCTCTGCCCAGTAGTGTTTTAGGTGCGACACAGAGTTTTCCTCGGTACCTGTATAGTTGTACAGTTTTGCTAGTTTCAGGTGGTCAGTGCCTGTAGAACGTAGTTTGAGCTTGCGTGACGGTTTTGCGGTAGCTTCAACCTGTTTTCCCTTGTTTTGTAGTGCTTGGGAGCTTTTAAGAGGTGCCACGACTACTGTCGTTTGGCTCAAGACACGTGAGACCAGCAGTGAGCTGTGCGTGCTTGAAAGTGTGAACTGTCCGAGTGTTTTGTGAGCTTGCTTTGCTTGCAAGGGTGCTTGGAACTTGTTTGCCTTAAACCTGAAGGGCTGTTCGCCTTGTAGGTTTTTAACGTGGTAGCGGAGCGTGGTGAACGCTCGTTGCCTTGCAACCAAAAGAAAGAGCCCAATACGTTGACTTGAGGCGTGTTGCTTGCTTGGTTGTGCTTGTGAGAAATGGAAGGCCGTGGCAGGCCAAGCTACTTCAACATCGGTGATGTGCCAGGTGAGCCTGGTATGATCCGAAGGAATAGTAGGTCAGACGCTGCGCCGCCTTACCAGAGGCCGAGAGCAAGCAGTGTGCCTCGGGGTGCTGCTTTTAGTCCGGTGTCGAACTTGTCGGCTCTGGAACGGGGTATGCATCCAACCGGAAGCCCGGTGGTGGGAAGCCCAGCTGGCTCGCCGAACCCTCTTGGAGGTGTGTTGCCACCCCCACCAGGTTTGCCAGAGTTTGGTGGAGTTTCGCCAGTGAATGCACCATCACCGCCCACCGTGGAGACGTTTCTGTACCAGACGGTGCAGCAGCAGCAGCAAGTTGCCCAGCTTACGTCTCTAGTTCAGGCTCTTGTGAGCAGGGAAGTGCCTGCGCCACCTACTGCGAGAGGCAAGGGCCACGGTGGAGAGCTTAGCTCCATCTCCGATTCGTCGGGGAAAATGGAGGTTGATGAGGGAGGTGCTCCCATCAGGAATCCCAAAGCTGAAGCTTATGTTCCTAAGCTGCCTGCGATTGATGGTGGAAAGATGAGCAAAGGCCGTCGCTCGGAGATCGAAGGATGGGCTGAGTTCCTGGAGCAATTCCTGCCGTGGATTGCTCTCTTTGATGATAGGATCCCGGAAGAGCTTCATCGATCGATTGCTTCTGAGGTCACCATCAAGCAGTCATCGCTTGAAAAGGGACAGAGCGTGCGTTCAACTAGGACCTTCTTGTACCTGAAGCAAGCGTTGCAAGGGTTTGCTCGTGGGCTTGACTTGGTTAAGCAAGTAGAGAAGGAGCAGCTTGGCTCCCCAGCTGGGTACGAGTGCATGAGGAGGTTGCATCAGGAGTTGTCTGTTGCGAGCCGCATCGAGGCTTCGACGCTTCGGAATGAGGCCCTGCAGTACCGTGCGAGCACTCCTGCCAATCGTCCACTTGACATGTTTCGGAACATCCAGTTGGAGCTTGCCAAGTTTACCCGCTTGACCGCAGGGTTCCCAGATCTTGCGTTGAGTGAGGCAGACCGTTGCATGATTGTTTTGAGAAATCTTGATGTCGAAGTGAAAAAGTATGTTCTTTTGCATGCTAGGGTTGACTCCATGGACCAGCTTGAGACTGCTCTGAAGTTCTATGATGCCAACCTTAAGATCCTGAATTTCCAAGAGAAGGAAGGAAAGGGAGCAGCAAAGGATCACGCGAATGCTTTGACCTTCGGAGACAAGGGAAAGGGCAAGAAGGGTGACAAAGGAAAGGAAGAAAAAGGAAAAGGAAAGGACAAAGGAAAGGACAACAAGAAAGGGAATGAGAAAGGAAAGGAAGAAAAAGGGAAAGGTGGAAAGGACAAAGGCAAGGACAAGGGGAAGACTGCAGCCGCAAAGGACGGCAAGCAAGGTTCTGGAAATGACAAGGACAAGGAGAAGGAGAAAGCAGAGCGCTTGAAGAACGTCAAGTGTTACAACTGTGACCAGTTCGGGCACTACTCGAATAAGTGTCCCAAGCCCAAGAGGGAAAGAGCATCAGCAGCTGCTTTGCTTGAGCCGCAGGTCGCGGCTGCCTCTTTGGAGCCTCAGATTTTCGCAGCTGCGGTTGATCTGAGTTGTCCGGTTGTTGAGCTTGATGAGGATGATTGCTCGGATTTTTCCCAGGAGGATTGGGAGGAGTTCGTTGCATCTTATGAGTGTGCTTGGTCGGAGCCTGTTGTGCTTGAAGGCGGTGAGCCTGTTGCGCTTGAGGGTTCCATGTTGCATGTTGCGCTTGAGAATTTTCCTTGTGACAACCCAAACAGAGCCACAGTTGAGCTTGCAGAGTCCCGCGGTGTCCCAAACAGAACCACAGTCGAGCTTGCAGAGTCCCACCAGGTCCCAGACAGAACCACAGTCGAGCTTGCAGAGTCCACAGAGTTGAGCTTGGAAGCAGGTCGTTTTGTTGCAGATTTTCAAAATGTCGTTGAGCATGACATGTTGCATGTGGTAGGTAGATCTGACCATGGCATGGTAGCGCACGAGACAGCAGCAGCCAGCCAGCAGCATGACACCATGGATTGGTGGCTCGTTGACTCCGGCGCGTCGGCCCACATCATCAACGAGGACACTTTGAGCCGGGTGCACGTTGTGAGCCACAGTGAGTCTGCCAGTGAGTGTGTTTCTGCAACGGGTGACAGCATTGGAGTTCGGAGGTCTGCGGTTGTCAGGGTTCCATTCGTTTTGGTTTCGGGCGAGACGGTGGTAACAGAACTCCAAGTGCTTGTTGCTCCTGTGAAGTTTAACCTGCTGTCCTTAGGGCGTTTGCTGGGCAAGAGCTGGGTTGTGGATTTCCTGCCAAGTTTTAAAGTTGAGGCCGCTGGGTACGTTCTTCGCACGAGATGGGTCTCCAATTGCGGATGGGTTTTCTCGAGTGCTGTTGAGCTTGACCTTTCCGTTGCAGTTGCCGCCCGAGCGAGCTTGAAGCGTAGTGACGGCTGTGCTCCTTCGTCGGGAAAGCCTTCTAAGAAGGATGAGGAGGAGCAACCGGGCACCCGAGGAGTCCTCCTCCGACTCGGAGCAGGAGTGGCGCCTTTCGGGTCGCCGCCACCTGGCGGAGCAGCACGCGGCGACTGTTACGAGGACTCACGAGGATTTCGAGGGATCCACGATCGCCTTTACGGCAACCTCGATGGTGGGTCTTACGCCGGGCCAGAACCTGCTTTTGGTGCCAGCCGCGGAAGTGAAGAAGAAGACGGCAGAGCAGGCAAAGGCAGCTGCGAAAGCAGCGGCGGAGAAGTTCGTGAAGGAGCGCCAGGAGAGCGCCCAGTGGGCCAAGGAAGCAGAGGAAGCAAAGAAGAAGAGAGCCGCCAAGGCCGAGGCAAAGAAGAAAGCAGCCACAGAGGCCGAGGAGGCAGAGAAGAAAGCAGCCACAGAGGCCGCGGAGACAGAGAAGAAAGCAGCCACAGAGGCCACGGAGGCAGAGAAGAAGGCAGCCACAGAGGCCGTGGAGGCAGAGAAGAAGGCAGCCACAGAGGCCAAGAAGAGGGTCGCCGAAGCGATCGGGGTCCCAGAGGTCAAGAAGCCCAAGGGCAGTGTGGCCAGAGCAAAGGCGGAGCCGTCTTCGGGGTCAAAGGACCCACCACAGCCACTGGTGAAGAGGCAGCCCAAGCCGCCCGTGGTGAAGGCAATGCCAGCCAAGGTCCGGAAGATCGTCTTGAAGAGCCGGGCCCAGCGCGGAATCCCCGGGCAGACGGAGACTGCGCTGAGAATGCTTTCGCAGCGAGCCAAGGAAAAGAAGAAGCAGGGCTACCTCATGAAGGCCATCAACAACGCCATGAAGAAGAAGGCCGAGGAGCACAAGGGGCCTCCGGTGCGGAGGACATTGGAAAGACACGTCAAGGACCACTTCGCGCAAATCAAAGGCCTGGAAGTTCCTTTCGTGGAGGTCACGGTTTCAGAAGTCATCAAGGAACCCCCAGGACCACCAGGATCGCCGATGGTACCGCAACCGAGAACACCACCCGCACGAGCCAAGGTGGAGGCCGCGCGTGCAGTGAAGGTGCCACAGCTGAAGGTGGAAGGAGGCATGGAGATCAATCCCCCACCACCGGTACCGCCGCGGAGGAGGCTTCCCACGCCACCGAGAGACCCGAGGTCAGCCGGACGAGGGGCCTCTGCGCCCTCAGAGTGGTCTCCTGTGTCCAGTCTGCCGCCATGGTCACCAGTGTCCAGTGTGCCGGTGGATACAAGGGCCAGGGAAACCCCAGCAGAGAGGAGAGCCGAGGAGTTGCACATCGGGGACGACGGCAAGATCTACAACTCGCGGGGCGAGGTGGTGGAGCTCGAGAGCATCGAGATAGAGTGAGCCATGGCGGTGCACAAGGATCCTCCAAGGACGCCCGCCAATCTTCCGAGGACGCCCACCATCCAGGAATATCCGATGGTCCTTCTTCCTTGGGACTCTCGCTTCTGATGCAAGAAAAGGTTGCGTTTGCATGTGAGCATGATGTTGCCGTTGAGCTTGGTGAGCATGCATGTGTTGGTGGTTTGGGTGAGCATGATTTGCAGCATGGTGAGTTGCTTGAGCATGTTGGCCAGGACCGACCACAGCGTGACCGGAGCGAGGCCCATGATAGCCAGAGTGAAGCATGGTTGCTTAGAGGGGATCGGGAACTGTTGTTGCAGGAGAGTTGGGGTAAGCTAGAGCGAGAACATGTTCTTAGATCGCATGTACCGTACAATGCGTCTTGCCCGCAGTGCGTGCAAGGTCGTGGGCTTGAACCCGCCAGAAGCCAGGATCGGCCCCAGGACTCAGGGATGAGAGAGGTGCAGATAGATAAGTTTTTCTACAAGGGCCTCGCCTTCCTGGTGTTGGTTTTGGTTGGTGCTTTTGCCCTCGGTGTGGTTCCGTATCGTGAGGTGAGCGGATCCCGAGGCCCAGCAGCCAAGGAAGCCATGTTGAGTGACATGTCGGCATGGAGTCGTAGCGTTGGCTTGGTTGGAGTTGCTCCCAGTGAGTTGACGGTGAGTGTGAAGTCGGACATTGAGGGTGTTGTGAAGAACCTTGCGCAAAGTTTTGCTGATGGTTTGACCGCTGGTGCCATCGAGGTTGTGGATGCCCCTGTTGGTCGCCATGCTGTTGTTGCAGAGCGTGCGGTTAGGACCATCAAGGAAGGTGCAAACACACTGTGTGCTGGGTTGGAACAGGTCGGTTTGGAGCCTTGCGGGAAGGGTGTTACGTATCTTTTGATGCATGTTGCCCAGGTCTACAACCGGTCTCCCTCTTTGCGTGATAAAATCACCGGCCGTTACGGCCACGCCGCCTACCTTGGACCAGAGGTCGGAAGTGGAAGCCACATTGTGCAGTTTAGGCTGCGGGATGGCACTTTGAAGATTGCGAGAAGCGCAAGAATCCGGATGTTGGTTCCTCTCACTTTTGAGGTGTCGAGCTTGAAAGGTGTTTGTCGCATGTTGCCCGGAAGAGAGGATGATTCCCAGAAGAAGCTCCCCGAGAGCAGTGGTGACAATGTGCGCGACCTCCCGTTGCCGAACACCGCAACCCGAGGACCACCACCAGAGTGGATTGAAGAAAACGGGAGAACCCCAAGGTGCCGAGCTTGCCGGCTGCGCGGTTTTCCAGCAGATAAGGCCTGGCACACCCAGAAGTGCCGTGATCGATACGCTGAGTTTGTGAGAAACTCTTTCGACCCCAGCCGGGCAATCCTCGATCAGGCCCCAATTGAAGAAGAAGTGACCGGGCGTGATGATTTGGGTGCTGGATTTGGTGTTGATCTTGGGCTTGAGGTGCCGGATGATCTTGATCCGTTCCCGAATTTTCCATTGGACGAGGATTTGGCTGAGTATGAGCCCAGTCTGCCTGGAGTTGAGAATGAAGTAGAGCTTGGAGAAGAACTCGAGCAGATCGAGGCCCCGAGCCCAGGCGAACTTGATTTCATGCAAGTTGATCCTGAACCTCTTGAGGCACTCCCTGAAGAAGAACGGGAGGCCATGGTGTCCACTATGATGTACCGAGAGTCCATCTCCTTTGCTGGTGCGTCGGTTTGTTTTGCGGGAGCCGCCACCAAGGTTGTTACTCCTCAGGTTGTCGAGCTTGGGGGGGAGAAGCTGCTTGTCGAAGTGCCAGCTTCTGCAAAGGATGATGTGACGGGGCACCTGCTTGATATTGGCTTGACCTATGAAGGCATGTTGCGTGAACTTCGTGCTCTTGAATCGCTTGCTGTCGGTGATGTTGTGTGGCATGTTGATCCGAAGCAGAAAGTGATCTCTACAAGGTGGGTCTCCAATGCCAAAGTAGAGCGTGTTGAGGGGAAGGAGAATCCGCTTGTCAGGTGTCGGGTAGTTGCTCGTGACTTTGCGCAGGGAGCGACCGCGGCACAGCTTGGCATCTCTGCTGCCACAAGCTCTGCAGAAGCGCTGCGAACTTTTCTTTTCTACGCGGGTTCCAAGAGGAGGAACATCGTCGGGTTGGATGTGAGCACCGCGTTTCTCTTCGCGGACCTCGACGAGGAAGATGGCCACATTGTGGTCAGGCTGCCAGACGGAGTGAAGGGCAAGGACGGCCGCCGTGGCTACTTGCGCCTTAAGAAGGCCCTATATGGTCTAAGAGTCGCAGCTCAGACCTGGTCGCGGCACCTGGCAAAGCTGCTGAAGAAGCTCTGTGACCTGGAGCCCTGTGAGACTGAGGCTTGTTTGTTTTCAGGCTCTGTGCTTGGAGGCCAGCGTGTGGTTGTTCTTTGCTACGTTGATGATCTTCTCATCACGGGAGACAGCGATGAAGCTATCTACCATGTGGTGGAGCAGCTGAAGACCGCTGTGAAGGTGAAGGTCACAGCCGATCTGGACCGCGACGGTCAGATCACCTTTCTTGGAAGACAGATTGCCCGAGAGCATTCTAGTGACTCCCTGTGTGTCACCATGTCCGATTCCTATTACGAGGAAATCTACAAGGGTTTCTTCGGGAACTCCAAGGTGACCGCGTGTGGCACGCCACCCAACCTAAAGGAGTTGTACGACAAAGAAGATCCTTGTTTGGAGAAACCCCTGTCTTCTGAAGCTGCTGCGAGGTTTCGCAGTTCCCTGGGAAGGCTGTCATGGCTTGCGATGACGAGGGTGGATGTGGTCTACTACGTGAGCATGCTGGCCCGAGGCCAGGCGAATCCACTCGAAAAGCACGAGAGAGCTATGAGAGCTATGTTGCGTTACTTGAAGTATATTCAGGGTTTTAAGCAGGTAGTGAACCCGGTTGATGAAGAGAACCTGCGCCTTGATTGCTATGTGGACGCTTCCTGGGGTAGCGAGAAGAATGTTGACAGGAAGAGCATCAGCGGAGGGTGCGTGATGTTGGGAGGCTTCTGTTTGAAGGCCTGGAGTCGTCTGCAACAGGCTGTTGCCTTGAGTTCTGCCGAGAGCGAGCTCTATGGGCTTGTGGAGGGCGCGAAAGAGGCTCTCTCTATCCGCCGCGCCATCTCGCATGTCTTTGGATGGGCAGATCTGCCAAAGCCCCATCTTTTCTGTGACAGCGAGGCTGCAGTTGCTATCAGCAAGGCTGATGGGCTGAGGAAGGTGAGGCACATTGACCTTAGGGCGTGCTTTATCCAAGACCAGCTCAGGCAAAAGCAGGTTTTTATCTTTGGCGTGCGCGGTGAAGCCAATGTTGCAGATTTGTTCACCAAACCTCTGAGTTGGACTGTTACCTTGAAGCACATGTGGGGACTTGGCTTGCGTGACGTTGCCGTTATTGCTTGTGTGCTTGATGGCTTTGTTGCGTTGTGCGGTGCAATGCTTGTTGGTAAGAACCATGTTAGCTTGCGTGACCGTTTTGTCGCCATGCCGCATGCCTCTTGGTTGGTGATTGAGTTCTGTGCCCCCGTTGAATCATCGATGAGAGCGGCTAGCCAGGACTTAAACTGGGTGAATGTGCTTACTGTGAGTGAGCGTGATGATGGTGCCAGTGCACAGACCTTGCTTGAGCTCAAAGCCATCTTTGCTGAGCAGATCAAGAAGAAGGGTTTTGTCTTCTTGTGGGCTAGTACCCCGTGCACAGGAGGCTGCCCGTATCAGAGGCTGCGTGCCCGTGATCCAGCTTATCGCCGAGGGCGGTTGGCTCAGCACTGGAGGCTTCATCGGAAGCTCTGGAGAAGCTTGGTCGAGCTTACTAGCTTTGTGCATGCTTGGGCCATTGAGTGGCCGCGTGCTTGTGCTTACTGGTCTTGGCGCCAGACTGAGCATTTTCTTTCCTCACGCCCCTACGTTTTGCACGACGTTCCAGTTGATGGTTGTGCGCTTGATATGCGGGGCCGCGATCATCTTCTGATCGCCAAGCGATGGCGTGTTGTTACCACACACCCAGCAGTCGCTGAGAGCATTCGTGTCTATCGTTGCTCTGGGAAGCATGAGCACTCGAAGGACTTCGACCTCAAGAATACACAGCACTACCCGGTAGAGCTTGTAAAGTCCTTCTTCGAAGCGTTGCGCTCTTGACTTTTTACGAGAGTCTTGTCGTTGTCGAGGACATGTTGCTACATGTTTGCTACGCAGCCCGTTTGCTCAAACTTTCCGGTGTTTTTTCTTTCTTTGCCAGGACGTTTAAGATGTCTCTGGTCCCTTTCGCTGCCGAGCGTGCCATGGTGTTTGGCCTGGTTGTGGAAGTGCAAGAGAAGCTTCTCGAAGTTCCGAGTGTAGGGCTTCTCACTGTTGTGCTTGTCCCACTGCTTGTGGGTGTTGCGCTTGGAGTGTGCTTGCAGAAACTGCGTACCGAGAGCTCCCGCGTCAAGACTGTGCAGGACCTTCTTTCGTTTCTGCCAAGGTCGGGCCAGAAGATGGCTGTCTTTACTTCTGCTTACGGAGACTGTTTCCACGTGCGTAGGGACTGCCACGGCCTCAGGAACGCGATTCCGAATCGCATCGCTACTAAAGTGGCGTGCGAGTACTGTTTAAGGGAACTCCACCTGGTACCTCCGACAGCTACTGCGTCGTGGGGGGGTGTAGAAAACCAGTGCTCTGCCCAGTAGTGTTTAGGTGCGACACAGAGTTTTCCTCGGTACCTGTATAGTTGTACAGTTTTGCTAGTTTCAGGTGGTCAGTGCCTGTAGAACGTAGTTTGAGCTTGCGTGACGGTTTTGCGGTAGCTTCAACCTGTTTTCCCTTGTTTTGTAGTGCTTGGGAGCTTTTAAGAGGTGCCACGACTACTGTCGTTTGGCTCAAGACACGTGAGACCAGCAGTGAGCTGTGCGTGCTGAAAGTGTGAACTGTCCGAGTGTTTTGTGAGCTTGCTTTGCTTGCAAGGGTGCTTGGAACTTGTTTGCCTTAAACCTGAAGGGCTGTTCGCCTTGTAGGTTTTTAACGATCTGCACCTCAAGTGGGTCGACACTTTTGCGTGTTCGGGCGGGTGAGAGCCCTTTTAAATCTTACACAGCTAGGACGCCACCCCAATAGGGGATGTGACGTGTGGCGAATCGCTTCAGCACCGAGGTTCTCGGGGAGCTTCTTCGTCCGGCCTGCTGCGACTGCCTGCTGGAGCTCCTGGGACGCGAGCCGGTGCTCCGAGTCTGACCGGATCACGGTTCAGCGAGCCAACGCTGAGTTGCAGAGGCTCTGGAACAAGCTGGACCTTCCCGAGTCGGAGCTGTCCAAGGCTCGCCAAGAGGCGCAAGGGGCGCCATCCCATCTGCCGCGGAGCAGCTGTTTGTGACGCTGCCTTCGCAGTACCGACGTATTGTGTACAGTAGGCACAGCTGCTACCATGCAGGAGATTACCGAAAAGTCACAGTGGGGAAGCTAGTCAAATTCCTCAAATCATTCGGTCTCAAAGAAGTTCATGTTGTGCATGACGGGGAACCGCTTTTAGCAGCCATAGCAGCCGAGGTCGTTGAGGTTGCAGGTGGGAGTTCGGTTTCTGCCAAAACCTCTCCTAGCAGGCACGCCCCGGTAGCTGAGAGAGCAATCCGCACGCTTAAAGAAACCGCTTTGGCCAACGAGCTTCACGCCAAGGGCGTGAGTGGCTTGAAATTGTTGGCAACTGAGGAAGCGATGGAATTGCTTCACAGCCACGCGGCTGCTTCACACAACCGGTTCGGAACGTCACAGGGTCAACTGTTGAGTCCTTTGCAGCGAGCTTTGGGTGAGAGTCACACGCTTGCGTCACAAGTTGATGGTCGATACGACATTGGTGCCTATCTCGGCCCTGTGATTGGTGGGCAAGGGCATCACTGCATGATCAGACTCTCGAATGGGTCTATGAAAAGATGCGTCGCTCGCGGGCTCTCAAGATGGCCTTCCCAGTGACATTTTCATCGAACTTGTTACCCACTATCGCCGAGGCTAATCCTGATGAGCCTGATTATGAAAGCTTTCCGGGGGTAGCCCGCTTGAATGGCTTGAAAACAACAAAACGGCACGTTGTCCGGGATGCTTAGGTAGATCACGCTTCCACTCTAGGCGTTGCAAAGTTCGCTTTCGTGATTACATCAGGGATACGCTCGGTGATCTTGACAATCCGGAACAGCAACAAGCCCCTGAAAAGCCTCAAGTAAAAATCAACCCGAATCCTGAAGTCGTGGAGTTTGAACAAGAGAGCTTGGATTACGAGCCCAGCCTTCCTGGGTCTCCTGTTCCTGAGGATCTGCAGCACTTGGTGCCTGAACCCTCACAGGCAGGCCAAGACCTTGAGCTCCCTCAGGAGTATCTCCCTGGAGGAGACGTTGAAATGGATCAGGTTGATATGGATGACTACACCGTGCCCATGGATGTAGCTCAGGTCCCGGATGTTCTTGACAGTACGAGCATGCCTCAGTTCATGTTCTCAGTGATTCCGGACCAGAAGCATCACCTGAGTCCTGTTGATTACGGTGAGGTTGGCTTGTTTGCTGCACAGCTTAAGAGAAAAGCGCCCGCTCAGCACAGTAACCCCGATGAGGGGGTGACCATGCCTTTCGGCGATCGAGAGGTGTGGGTCATCAAGCCCACTTCTGTGGTTGATGATGTCAGTGGCTTGCCTTTGGATCCTGAGAAAACGTGGGTTGGCATGCAGAAAGAGGTGTCTGCTATGCACAACTTGGGTGTCGGCAACGCCCGCACCTATGATGAGATTAAGACCCACTGCCAGGAGACAGGTGCCAAGATCATTAAGTCGCGTTTTGTCTTCACTGACAAGGTTGATGTTGACGATCAGCACATTGTGCGTGCGCGCCTTGTTGCAAAAGACTTTGCTTTCAATCAACCTTCGGCGCTTGACTTGGGCATTGCGAGCCAGACTGCTTCTGTGGAGGCCTTCAAGGCTTTCATCTGTCGTGTTGTCCAGGATACGCTTGTCCTTTGGGGACTTGACGTTTCGACTGCCTTCTTGTATGCCAAGTTGGTTCTTGATACCGTGCTTGAGTTGCCGGGATGCTTTCAGAACCTTGATGGCTCTAAGGTTTACGTCATCCTGGAGAAAGCCATATATGGCTTGAGATCGGCAGGCCTTTCGTGGCAGAAGCATCTTGCTGGACTTCTTGCTGAGTTGGGATTGTTTCCTTCTCTTATTGAACCTACGTTGTACAAAGGGTATTGGGGAGACATCCTTGTGCTTTGTCTTGTGTACGTCGACGACATCTTGCTAGCCACAAGAACGAAAGAGGCAAACCAACAGCTTCTAGACTTCCTCATGGGCCGTCTTAAGGTCAAGTTGACTGGACGCTTGGATGAGGACGGCAGGATCGGATTCCTAGGCCGTGAGATAATCAAGCGTGGCCATGAGATCTTGTTGGCTGTGAAGAAAGAATACGTCGATTCGATCTTCGAGGCTTTTGGGTGGAGCCAGGAGAACCGCAGGAAGATGAAGCCCTGCACTGCACCACCAGACCTCCGATCGATCCTTGACAAGGAAGACCCCGAGAAGCCCTCCGAAGAGCTCTCCCCTGAAGCCGCGAGCCGCTTTAGAAGCACCCTAGGGAAACTAGGCTGGCTTGTGCAAACCAGGGGGGATTTGTGTTATTTTCACTCCATGCTGTCTAGAGGTCAAGCCTGTCCGCGCGCTGTGCATGAGGATTGTATGCGTAAAGTGCTTCGTTGGCTTTTGGAGGTTCCCGATCTTGTTCAGGTCTTTCAGAAGGACTCCAAAGCTCAACCTGGGACTGCAACCCTCGTTGGATTCAGCGACGCTAATTGGGCCTCTGAGCGCTCTACTGGACGGAAGAGCACCAGCGGAGGAGTGATTTACCTGAATGGGAATTGTATCAAGACTTACTCGAGGCTCCAGCCTATCGTAGCACTCTCCAGTGCGGAGTCTGAGCTTTTCGCTATGGTTGAGATGGCGCGCGAGCTTGTAGGATTGGGGCAGCTTTTGGGCCACCTTTTCGAAAGCGTTGCGCAACCCCTATACCTGCCTACGGACAGCTCTTCCGCTCGCCAAGTCAGTATGATGTCCGGCTTCCTGAGAAGGATGCGTCATGTGGACCTTCGTCTTTGCTACTTGCAGGATAAGGTTGAGAACGGCGAGATCCTGGTTACACACGTCCCAGGAACGGATAACGTCGCCGACTTGCAAACAAAGAACTTGAGTGTCGCGCAAACTTGGTATCATATAGGACAGTTGTGTCTTGAGGAACGTCTCACCCGTAGTGACTATCTTCGAGGTGATGCGCCCCCGGTCCGTTGCCTTGTGTTTGCCGCGTTCAAAGGTCTGTTTTCTGCAAGCGTCGATGATCCTTGGAGTGTGTTGGTTGGTCGTTGTCGGTTGCAGACACCGCATTACATTGTGATGGTCGAGTTCTGCACCTCTGGAGAAGCCTGGTTGACTAAGCTTGCTAGCCACTATGGCATCCATGCTATTCCCGTGACGGAAGAAACGGATGGGACTCTTCCGGAGACCATCGAGCTCATTGAGCACGCCCTTCGTGCGGCACACCGTCGGAACATGCATGTTGTTGTGTGGGCCTCGACGCCCTGTACCGGTGGTTCGCCCTGGCAGCGCTACCACCAAGCTCGATCTGCAGATCACTATGATGAAAGGATGAAAGGACTTTTCACAGTCCACCGAAAGCTCTGGAAGAGCTTCTTGAAGCTAGTCAACACATCTGATTCGGCAACTTGGGTCATTGAATGGCCGCAACGTTGTGCTTACTGGGGATGGTCCGCTACGAAGTCATTCCTTAAGATCAATCCGCATGAGACTGCTCTTGTGCATGGTTGTGCTTGCGGCATGGTTGGAATGGACGCACTTCCAGTGAAGAAGGTTTGGAGGTTGTGCTCGAACAGTCATGTTCTCATTCACTGCATGGATAAATTAAAGTGCCCTGGAAACCACGAGCATAGTAAGATGTTCGTTCTGAAGAACACCCAGCACTACCCCGAAGCTTTTGCTCACACAGCTCTTAGGGCTTTGAGTGCTTGGTAGGTGCTGACGCCTCTTTGTACAGCCGCAGCCGTTTTTGGAAGAGCCATAAAGCTACCGTGGACCGTGAGAAGATCGATGAGCCCAATACGCAACAGCAGCCACTGGA